CTTGGGTTTCTGAGGCAGTATCTCTATGGAAGCAGATTGCCCAATCTTCCTTCTGAGAAGCGGTTGGTGGTTGTGAATTGCCAGCCTTCTGGTTAGCAGTCAAATGCCTTAGGCATATATATATATGGAGCTCTGATGGCATGGTGCCTAATGCATCTGACTGCTAACCAGAAGGTTGGTAGTTCAAACATACCAGCTGCTTGGTGGTAGGAAGATGGGACAATCTACTTCTGTAAAGATTTACTGGCCAGAAATCCAGTGGGGGTTGTTATGAAAATATGTATATATATATATATATATGTGTGTGTGTGTATCAAATATATCAAAATAAAAAACCAAACTCACTGCCACTGAACTGATTCTGACTCACAGCGACTCCCACTGGGTTTCCAAGGCAGTAAATCTTTACCGAAGTAGACTGCCCCATCTTCCTTCTGGTTAGCCATCAAATGGCTTAGGCAATATGCCACCAGAGCTCCATACACACACACACACACACACATAAAACTTAACAGGGGCAAAGTTATAACTTCTTCACCACAGACAAAAACCCTGGGGGAATGAGTTGCTGGGCCTGTGGGCTCGGGATCACGGTTGCAGGGGACATCAAGCACAATTGGCATAACATACTACACAAAAACACTGTTCTATATCCTACTTTGATGAGTAGTGACTGAGGTATTAAAAGCTTTTGAGCAGCCATCTAAGACTTAACAATTGGTTTCCCCTCGTCCAGAGCAAAGAATTTTGGAGAAAATCAAAGCAGCATGGAAACAATTTGTCCAAAGGACTACTGTACCATGGGAACCTTGGCTTATATGACCCTGAGACCAAAAGAACTAGATGGTGCCTGGCTACCACTGTAACCACTCAGAAAGGGATCAAAATTTGAGATTATGGATAGAGTGGGAGAAAAATGTTGAACAAAACTCAAAACCATAGAAAAGACCAAGATTACTTGTTTGTTGGAGACTGTGAAACCCCCAAGACTATGGCCTTTCATCACCCTTAGGGCCTAGAACTGAACTTACTCCTCTGGCTGAACTTTCAGCCAAACAAGAGACATGCTTACAAGGTGAACAATTATATCCCAGAAGTACAATCCCTAGAACAATTAACCATGGAGATCAGAAGGGTAGCTTTTGCTCAGGGAGAAAGCTCAGAGGGCAGGAATACACAGAAAAGAAGGACACAGGGAAAAGCTAGGGAGAAAACCAAAACAAGGAGGAAGTAGGAAGAGAAAAAAAAATAGAGAAAAAAAATCAAATGATATATCATACTGGGCAAATGTGTGACAAAAACCTCTTGAAAATGTTAAAAAGCAGAGGTATCACTTTGATAACTAATATGCACCTGACCCAAATCAGGGTCTTTTCCACTGCTTCATATGCATGCAAATGCTGGACAATGAATAAAGAAGACCAACGAATCGATGCATTTGAATTAAGGCACTGGTGAAAAATACTGAATATACCACAACTACCAGAAGAACAAACATATCAATCCTGCAGAAAGTACAGCCAGAATGCTTCTTAGAAGCAAGTATGGAGAGACCTGTCTCATTTGCTTTGGACATATCATCAGGAGAGATCACTGGAGAAGGGTGTCATGCTTGGTAGAGGGTCAGCAGAAGAGAGGGAGACCCTCAATAAGATGGATTGACACAGTGGCTACAACAATGGGCTCAAATACAGCCTGTGAGGATGGTGCAAGGCCAGGCAACATTTTGTTGTTATGCATAAGGCCACTATGAGTCCAAGCCGACGAGATAACACCTAACAACAATAATGGGGGACAAAATTCCTCCTGTACCCATGGAAGATGTCACTAATAGATTCACTAATTAATTACTGTCCCTTACCCACAGAAACTATACTTACTAAGAATTTTTGTCAACATAGCACTTCAAGCAGCCATTATCAATTGATCAAGGTTGAAGAGTGAAATGTAAGTGATTTGCTATCTCTAAACTGTGATTGTGATATTTCTGTAAATTGTGATCATGAGATTTCTACATTTTTTGAAGTGAACTTATGAATGTAGGATTTACAATGTAGTGATGGTCACATTAAGGGTGTACACATTACCAAGTGTTTTAGATAGGAAGAGAATATGTGGTATGTGAGGCCTCTGAGGCTTTGGCCAAGACAATGCCAGGAAAAAGACCACCAGGGCTGCCAGTATGCAAAATGGCCAGGTCATGGAGGTCAGTGCTGAAGGAAGCTCCACATGACATAGCACTGGGAGATGGTCTGAGGCCAGTACTAGACAAACTGCCAATTCCAAGAACCAGGAGGCTGGGAAAGTAGGGATTCTCCCTACATCCTGTCTTAAGTAGTAGAGGGATTATTTTTCCTTCTGGGTTTCCTTTAAGTTTTCTATTGTCAATGAATACATGCTTTTAATGATCTAGTTTCTTTTGATATTTCCCCAAGTGCAGGGCTCCAAGCATGGTTCAAGGCATGTAAAAGACATTGCCTGGATTTGTGCAGTGCACAACCTGCAGTACAAAATGGGGCAACTGTGCCCTATAAAACCCAATAGTAAAATAATATGAAATTTAGCATAAAGATGTCTGACATTGCAACTATTGTTCTTTACCCATCTGAAGCAAAGAAGAGCCAAGAAAATCAAAGGCAATGGAAACAATCAGCCCAAAGGACTAATGGACCACACGAACCTCAGCCTCCAGGACTCTGAGACCAGAAGAAGTAGATGGTACCTGGCTACCACTAGTGACTGTGCTGTAAGAGATCATAGTAGAAGGTCCTTGACAAGAGTGGGAGAAAATGTGGAACAAAACTCAAAATCACAAAAAGATGAGGCTTACTGGTCAGATAGAGACTAGTGGAATCCCTGCGACTATGGCCCGTGGTCACACTTTAGACCTGGAACCAAACACACTCCTGTAGCTCAATTTTCAGCCAAGTAACAGACAGGTCTACAAAATCAACAAAAACTGTAGGAAGGGACACACTCCTTAAAAATCAACCATTCAAGATCAAAGGGGCACCATTTACCCAAGGACATAGCTCAAAAGGCAGGAGGGTTAGGCAAGGAGGAGGAATGGAAAGGAGAAACACAGGGAAGAAGTGGGAGGAATGCTGTTACATTGAGGGGACTGCACTCAATTATATGAAACAAAGTATGTGTGAACTGTTGAATGGAAAACTGATTTGCTCAATTAACCTTCATCCAAATCACCCAAATCACAGGCTTTTTCTTTTTAAATATGTCTGAAAGCCTGCTGAGTTTTTTAAATGAATGTTTTTGCTGCTTTAATCTTGATTTTAAAAACCAAGAGCTCTGGTGGTACAGTGGCTAAAGCATTTGGCTGCTTACCAAAAGGCTGGTGGGTCAAACTTACCTGCTTCTCTGCGGGAGAAAGATGAGGCAGTCTGCTTCATCCTATAGGGTTCCTATGAGTTAGAACTGACTCGATGGCAATGACTGTGGGTTTGGTTTATGGAAATAATAACAAAATTCATGATACATATACAAGGTTATTGTCTATAACATTTTCTCAACAGAGAAAATGCAAATGTTCATTAATATGGTACTAGTTTTATAAGTCATAGTAGATCTGTGCACTATAAAAAATGATGAGAAAACGTTTATGTACTAATATGGAAAGACTGCCAAGATAATAAATGAAGTGAAATGAAAATAGAGGAAAGCATTGTATACTACTATTTTTTATAAAAAGGTGGGAGACAGACTCTATGTACACTAAATAGTTGTCTTTGGATTAAGTATCTCTGGAAATATACACTAAGCTAATTACAGCAGTTGTCTCTAGAAGAGCAAATGGAAATTTAGGAGACTGGGAAGGAGAAGACTTTTCTTCTTTATATATCCTTTTATATGTCTTTCTTACATTTTCAACAATGGAAATATTGTCCATCATCTTTCTGATGTGCATTCTGAGCTGCAGAGATCAGAGAGTACTAAGTGCTTCCCAGACTCCCTTGCAGCTGAGAATTTCAATGTAAGTTTCTGTCAACTGGATGTACATTCACGACATGTGAATTAGAAGATGAAAATGGATGAAAACCATCTCTTGCTACTTTGGACTATGGGTGTGAAAAGACAATTGTACTGTAGTTGATGGCAGCTGAACGTTTTGCACACTGTGTGTGTGAGTGTGTGTGTAAAGAGAGACACACACAACTTGCACATGTGAAGAAAGTTGAAATAGCACATGTTTTGTTACATATATACTTACCACATTTTTTTTTAAAAGACAATTTGTATTTCAAATAGAATCCCAGGAACAGAAGACTAATTCAAATATGCTTGAGTCTTTGTTTTTATTTAACTCAAAATAGCTAATAACATAAAAACATTTAAAAAATATTTCCAATACTTGACTATACAGTTATTTTTGGTTGATGAAGCATGATTACTTAGTTTTGTTTCCGAGAAGTAGTAACATAATCTATTATAAAACATATTTTTAAAAGTTTGCAGCAGGCTTTAAGTCTACATATTTAAATCCTAATCAAAAGGCATGGTTTAGTTATTAGTTTTGATTCTAAACATATTTCTCCCACATAGAAGCATAATAAACTAATAACCATAAATAGGCTAGCCATTAATTAGTTTTCAACGAATGAATGCCCAAATACAGTACATACACACAGGTAACATATATATATATATATATATATATATATATATATATATGCTTTTACCCTTTATAATAAGAAACCTATGAGATAAATATGAATGTCTGTTTGAAGTACAGTAGAGTTGTATCATAACATTTTAATTTATATTAATTCAATATATGAGGTAAGTAAAAAGGAAATGACAAGGAAGGTAACATTTAATGCTATGGCTATACCACCTACTCAATGAATGCATGCCCTCAAGTAAACCAAGATGAGTGTTGTCAATCTGGGATTCCTTCAGTTGCTGTCAGTTTACATCTGCCTCTCAGTGGGCAAACGTTTTGTGGCTGAGTGTGAGTCTAGTGTTCAAAGGGATGTGCTTCTTATACAAAATGGTCCCTGAACAAACACCAACAACTTCATTTGGTCTTCAACGGAAGAAAACAGTCATTTCTTGCAACACTGGAGAAAAAAACTGGTTGTGGTGGATGTACAGATTTCCAACATGGAGCCTTCCTAAAGGACTTCCCAGAGTAATCTTGGTAAGACCTCATTTTATCTTATGGACTGACACTGGAAACTAACCCTGGACATGATGCAACTCCACTGCAACATAAATAAAAATGCCATGATTTAAAAAATGCCATGATATTGTCAATATAATTTCCAGTTTAGTTGTTTCCTCACATTTAGCACAGTGTGTTTATGTGACACGTGCCTGGTGCCAGCACTTCAGAATGTATCCATTACTGGCTAAGAAAATCTCACAGTGAAAAAATTACTATGTCATAAAATCTGAATAAAAAAGTTGGTCAGTCTTAGTATGTGTCAGGAGATGCAAATGGTGCTCCTGGGACAGAGAGCAACTCTGTTTTGTTACACTCAGTGCTCCCAGGGATGTTCTGTAGCCTTGTTTTCACGGGTTTCTAAGTTGGCAGCTACATTCCGCTTCTTAAAAACTTGGACTTAATCTGACCACTGCCCTGGTTCAGTTTCTATTTTTAAAAGCACCATTCTAATGGAAACATCCCTGCCCTGAATTAAGCCAGGACTGTGAATTTTGCCACTAGCTAGAGCTGTTATGTCATAGATTTTGGGTTAATTTGGTAAAGATATCAATTTCTTTGACAATGACTTCGAAACTTGCTTCAGCTTCTTTTAGCTAGGTAGGATTTCTACCTGGGCTGTAGGTGAGGGTAAAATATCCCATGGAGAACTCCTTCAATAACCACATTTGGAAAATCTGAAAAACAAAAGATAAACTGATTTTCTTATGTGCATCAATAAAATATAACTTTGCTTTGTAGAATTTAACAAGGCAAGGCTTACTATAACTTAAAAACCTGAAGCACCATGCAGTATGCCCTTGTTTAGTGTGTGCTATCAGTCATGCTGCTGCAGCCTGAAGCCACTTTAGTATACCACCAGGCGCTTCAGGAATGTGTGGCCAGATTTGTAGCTTATTGATTTAAGGGATGTTCTAATGGTTAATGCTGCTAGGCCCCAGCTCTTTATCTGAATGTTTTCTCACAAGGAAGATGGATTACACTGGCAATTCAATTTCTAACAAAATCTCAATATACTTGAAGGAATTCCAAGATTTCTACTGGGAATACTTTGCAGCAGTTTTTCCACTGTGGTTTACAGCAGCATTTAGTCCAAGATGTCTTGAGTATGCTTGTTCTATTATACTAGCTTCTGGAAAGCAGTAAGATAGGGTCCTGTCTTCCTACCTTAAAAGGGCAAATTTCCCACAAAAGCCATCCTGTCAAACTTGAAAAATTCAGCTACATTTTAATAGGAGATACAAAGGAAATGCAGGGGTAGATGGTATTCTGTACCACATTGCAGTTATTAGAGCAGGTAAAATACGAATAGATTACCTGAATGGAAGAATGATCAATTTATCACATGGCTCAGAAGTTTAATTTCTAAACTGTAATCTGAATATGATTCTACCCAGGAATTATGCTAAAACCAACTACTGTAAATAAATATACTTATTATACAAGGAAATTAAGAACAAAAAGACAAACTCACTGACATCAAGTTGATTCTGACTCACAGAGACCTCCTTTGGGTTTCTGAGGGAGTAAATCTTTACGGAAGTAGATTACCCAGTCTCTGAGGAGTAGCTAGGGTATTTGAACATTCAGCCTTCTAGTTAGCAGTCAAATGCCTTAGGCACTATGTCACCAGAACTCCTTTATAAGGAAATTAAGTGGTCTTTATCTATACATACATACATACATACATATATATATATATATATTTATAATTTTTTTTTTTTTTTTTTTTAAAGCACACTTCTTAACCCAATCTCTATAAACTACCTACTACATGAAACTACCTAAAAAGATATTAGACCTCATCAGGGTGAGTAAGAATGGATAGAATAGACAAAAATTCTGGATTTATCTAAAAAGCAATGAAAAGCCATTAAGGGACTGTTAGGAGAGTAAAACAGATCAAATTGTATTTTGAAGAGTCTCTGACTCTTCAAAAAGCCAGAGACCCGGACAGAAAAGCAGTCAGCCCCAGGGTTACAGGTGAGGAGAGACAACTCAGGGACGGCCAAAGTAGTAGGCGGGAAGAGCAGGGGAAAGGGGATTAAAAGCCAGGAAGCCAGAGAGAAGAGCAATCAGACGAAGGGATTAGGTGAGGAGAGGAAACTCAGGCCCACCCAGAGGAGCAGTCAGCCCCAGGGACAACTCAGGGACGCCCAAACCAACAGGCCAGAAGAGCAGGAGAAAGGGGATTAAAAGCCA